ATAGTTAGTGCAAATTCTCCCCGGCGTTGCGCGATGTTAATTATGCTCACCTAATGCTAACTGGTCAATTTAGACCATTGAACATTGTTCAGCAAGATATCACGAGCACGAAATATCGCAGACCACTTTTGATATGTTCGAAAATTCACAGAAACTTCTGCATAAAGTGCACAAATATCATTGCATTTTTTCATCTATATATCAAAAAAGCACCGTGTGTTAAAAATGAAGCTTTTTTGCAAATTTCTCTTTATTTTTTTTATTATTATTGATCAGTACAAAAGAAATTTATACATATTTTTCACTCAAGACGATAAAGGCGATATGATGTCATTTTATTTGAGGTTACTCATATATATATATATATATATATATATATATATATATATATATATATATATATATATATATAGTTTATTTGTGACGCGTTTCGTCCCGCAGGACTTCATTGGACTAAATTTGTTATATTAATGCTATTACACATGCGCACGAGAGAGGGGTGACGTGATTTTAGAATTATTTTTTTTTAAACAGCAGATTCCATTTAGAGTCTTTTTATCTCTTTCTATCGCTTTTGTCAGCAGAATATTAGAAGATCTGCCAGCAATGGTGAAATGTTGTAAGTAAAAACAAAATTCTAAAATTCCCAGCAAGCCTGTCTTGCGCATGTATAGTCCGACCAACATAACAAATTTAGTCCGAAGAAGTCTCTAATAGACGAAACGCGTCACAAGTAAACTTTTTCAACTTTATCATAGTTTTTTTTTTTCCTAAAATTGTACTTGATATATAAAAAAAAATTACCACATCTATATATATTAAGACATGCTTCGTTGAATAATTTAGACGTGATCTGTCTTCTGATTTTCAGTAAGATCCTTTCATATTCACGGATAAGCTTTTTAGTATCGTTATTGAAGAACGAGAGAAAATCACCGTGTTGATACATATTTCTTTTATTTCCGAGTACTTTCGACATTGCACAATGTCAACATCAGGGTATATATATATATATATATATATATATATATATATATATATATATATGTGTGTGTGTGTGTGTGCGCGCTTGAGTGCGCCGCGCGTGTTTGTGTATATATGAGATGTAAAATATAAGTATACTATCTTAGCTACACGTGTTTCTCTCTATAATCAGGTATAATCAAGCCGGGCTATATTTTTTATAATCCCATATGGCGTCTGGCATTTTCGAGATTAAATGTGTAACTGGATGTAAATCTCATTCTGGTTCTGTGTTTGCCAATAGATTGTTTTTAACATGTATGCACCCCGACGCTACTTCTGATATTTACTCAACAACAGTTTGGGATTTGCGAACAACAATATTATCAGTTTACAAAATTTTGAAATATCTCAACGTCAAATTAACACACACACCGCCGCCGATGCCTGCTATTTGAAAAGATACCAACAAGCATAGAGCATAGATTATCGCGTAACTCGACTTTGAAATTATAAAAAGAGATTATCTGTTAGCATTGTAAGGGGAAGGCTACAAAAATGTTTCAATATTTCATCATGTCATGCCAATTTCGCGGAGAAAATGAATGAACAAAAAAAGAAAAATGAAGATCATCAGGATATATATATATATATATATATATATATATATGTGTGTGTGTGTGTGTGTGTGTGTGTGTGTGTGTGTGTGTGTGTGTGTGTGTGTGTGTGTGTGTGTGAGTGTGTGTGTGTGTATGTGCTGATAGCGCAGAAGGAATGTCTCCGTGATGAAGATTTCGAAAGCAATCGGATTCTATGAATTGATGCACTCTGAGTCACACACACACAGACACACACACACACACACACACACACACACACTGTCGTGTTTATTATATATATATATATATATATATATATATATAAAAATAAACACGATAAACCCTGGGTTTCACCTTCAGACAAACTGATTACCTGGAGCTGATAGCGCAGAAGGAATGTCTCCGACTGATGCCAAATCTGGATATTTATGTAGACAGTTTCCTGGCTTGAAGCTATAATCGGATGTCTAGAAATTCACACTGATGACAATATGTGATGCCAAGGTAAGTACAAACGAAACATTCTGTCTCTGAACCTTTCATTCACACACAGAACACACACACACACATCACACACACACACACACACACACGAAACACACAATAATATATATATATATATATATATATATATGAAAATACCAAACGGATAAAACAGACAAACCACCAACAATCACAATTTAATTTCAAGATATATCAAAATAATAAATAAATATATATATGTATAATTATTTATATATTATATTACATGCACATCACACCCACTATTAACATATAATTAGAATCTTTATTACCCCCCCGCATATTTAATACTTTAAAACAAATATCAGATATAATTTCCATATGTAACATATTTGGTTGGATATAATAATAATTTTGTAATTAAAAATATATATATATTTATATATATATAGGATTTATATATATATATATATATATATATACCAACAATACTTTTAGTTCAATACCACCACTATAACTACATTAAGTTTTATCATTCTCCACCACCGGTACCAATTGAAACAAAAATGGCTATTTTGTCCTTTGATTTTATAATCATATTTATGTTTAAATAATTTTTAAATAAATTAATTATAATATATATACAGTCAAAAAACAAACAAATATATTTAATATAATAAATATATATTTTTCAAAAATTTAAAATAAATATAAATAATTTAATAATAATTTTTACCTATCATAATTTTACAAACCCCACCCACACATATACATACATGCGAGAAAAATTTTTCAAATATTTTTCAACGGAAGAAAAAAAAAAAAAAAAAAAATTTCATAATATGACATGGATACATTCACGAGACAATAACGAGACATTTCCGCCACACTTAGTTTAAATTTCAACATTTCAACATGCAAATCGTATGTATAGGCCGTATACATACATGTGTTGTTGTCTACATATGTTTATATATATTATGAGTCCCCGACGGACGACCAAGTATATGTATATGTGTCTGCATTGATTGCGTTAGTACGAATGACAAAACGACGAAATCTCCCCCACCACTTCAATAATACCAATGGCAATCTTATTTTTAAAACAGTAATCAGTTTGTCTGACGATCGCTTTTATATATCAACCAAATATGTTAGCTCTATCTCTGATTGAGCGCTTTAATTTACCGCGCATATAATATATAAATAATTATACATATATATATATTTATTTATATTTATATTCACTTTTCATATATATATATATATATATATATATATATACAAAATATAAGACAGAGGTGTTGAAACAAAATAGCTATTTTTGTCGTGATTTTTAACATATTT